TGGTTTTGGGTTGGATCCCCAGCTGGTACCAGCAAGCCTTCAAAACTGCTTTAATTCTTCGTGGCATCGATTCAACAAGGTGCTGGAAACATTCTCCAGTTACTGCAGAATCGTCAGCTGCACATCCAGGATGCAAGTTTCTCATTCCACTACATCTCAGAGGTGCTCTGTTGGACTGGCATATGGTGACTGTAGGGGCCATTCGAGTACAGTGAACTCATTGTCATGTTCAAGAAACCAAATTTAAAATCTCTGAGCTTTGTGGAGTAATGCATTATCATTATCCACTGATAGCAGCCATCAGTAGATGGGAAAATCAATGAACATGGGCAACAACAATACTCATTTAAACAATGCTCAATCGGTACTAAGGTTGATACCGTTGAGGCTGGCAATGGATTCTGTCTATATGTTCTTTTAGTTCTGCAGTAGAAACTCATCAGACCTGGCAACAACCTTCGGTCGTCCAGTTTCGATGAGCCTTTGTGAACTGTAGCCTTAGTTTCATGCTTTTAGCTTGCAAGAGTGCATCTGGTGTAGCTGCTGTAGCCCATCTGCTTCAAGACTCTTTGTGCTGTGTGTTCAGAGATGCTCTTCTGCATACCTTGGTTCTAATGAGTGGATATTTAAGTTACTGTTGCCTTCCTAACAGCTCCAAGCAGTCTGGCTATTCTCCTCTGACCTCTGGCACCAACGAGGCATTTTCGCCCTGAGAACTGCTGCTAACTGGATATTTTCTCGTTTTCAAACTATCCTTTGTAAACCCTACAGAAAATGTGGGGAAATCCCAGTAGAATAGTTTCTGATCTGCCGGGATTTCTGAAATTCTCAGGCCAGTCTGTCTGCCACCAACAATCGTGCCACATTCAGAGTCACGAAAATCACCTTTCTCCCCCAGTTTGAACTTCAGCAAGTCGTCTTGACCATGTTTACATGTGATGTGTTTCTGCGATGTGCCAGGTGACTGCCAGATTAGAAACCTGCGTTTCTGAGCAGTTGAAAAGAGGAGCCTGTTGAATTGGCTGGGGAGTTTAAATGATGTAGTGATAAGCTAGTTAAGGTTGCTATTTTGTTTACAGTTAGAAATCTATAAACAACGTGAGACTGAAATTATCACATTATATTTTTATATGATGTTAGTTTCTTTTACAACTACTTAGGAACTTTTGGTCTCAGGTCTGTTATGAAGATAAAGAAAGCTGTGATTATGGGCTGTAAAACTGCATTTACAGAAGCCATCTCTATGGTGCACAGCACTTATGGTCTGTGAAAGCTCAATTTCATGGATATGCACATACAACTTTATATTTATTTTATACCTGGAGCTCATTTATAATCAGCAGGCTGTTGCAAGAAAAGAAGAAAAAACACAGAATAGTGATGTCTAGAAGAAAACCTATAGGGCAACTTTGTTTGATGGCCATAAACAGAGGATAAAAGAGATTTTATCTCTTAAAAGTATGCAATGGGCTGAGATATCTGGTGTTTATGTTTAACAGAACAGATCCCAGTTAAAATCTATGTATGTTTAAAGAGATCAACACCTTCAAGGGGAGTAATCTCTAGAAAGCATCACTCCCAGTCTTCTGGTTATGACTCAAAACTACAGACAGAAAGCTCTGGCCAGCTCTGCCACTCTGAGGGTGAGTGAGTGTGCATACCAGGAGTACTTCATATATTACTACATACTGTATTCTGCTGACATTTTAAATGCGAATTCCTCCTTCTGGGGACATAAAAGGCCCCCTATCCACTTTCACTATATAAAAAGCAAAAAAACTCAAACTTTGTTCAAGGTTACAGTTCGTTAAGATTAGGATTCAGCTTTGTATTTATTTCTTAACGAAATTGGACGCTAACATATCAGCTATGTTTTGTCAAGGCAAAACATGAACCGAGAGACCCTCAGTAGAAGAAGTGGTTTGATCCATAGCTTCTCCAGTGTGTCTGTCAAAGTGTCCTCAGGCAAGATACTGAAGCCCAAAATACTCCCGATGCAAGTGTGAGTGTGTATGTAATACAGAAAGTGCCTAAAGGGATACAACTGTATGGATGGGGAATGTGGCTCGCACACGGAGTTAGAGTAGAGCTACACAATTATCAGTCCTTTTATGCTGGACTAAGATATAGTAAGCTCTGGCCTGCAGTGCACAGGAGGAAGATGAGGAGATGAAACTTTTACCTGCTCACATGGCCCCCAAAGCTGCTGTGCTTTAATCTGGCTTGGATTTCAGCTCCACTCTGCCCTTTAATTATTTCCATGTCCACTCCATTTGTTAAGTAAAATCCATTCAATAGGCTGACAGAGGATTAAGAGGACTGTGATGTCTCTGACAATGTCGTTTATGTTGTGCATTCTTCTAAACTTCATCTTGACTTGCTAGCTAACCACGACCATGTGTCATTTCCTAATGATCCTAGATTGGCTGGATCCAAAAAACAAACAAACCAACAAAGAGAAAAATACTTCCAGGTTTAAACAGTTTGGATTTTGGGCTTTTTTCTCTTGTCTTTGTTCTCCCTCGTGCTCTGAGATGTACTTTTAATTTGCCAATGATCAACAGGTTAGCAATCCACCGCTGCACATAGACACTCTTGGGATGCTCGCAAACATACACAATGTTGCCATGCAAACACTGTGTCCTCTGCGAACAAAGAGTGGGCAAATGAAAGCCATCTTCTTGACTTGTTTTAACCTGAACAAAGTGCGTGCACACACATGCATGTGAGCAAACACAAATACATACATGTACACAAACACATTTCTGTCCTCACTCGGAAAGCCTCTGAGCTTCTTTTTGCTTTATTCAGTACAAATAGCTTCATGGTGGGATAAAAGCATAATGTTTCCAGAAACCCCCCACACTGTGCTTCACTCTTTTGGCCTCATGTTCTCCCTCACTTTTTCCTCTGACCCCCTTCTCTTCTGCTCTCACTCCAAAAGGACATTCTTATTTCATTAGAGGTGGGGTCTAGGAGGCCAGCGGGTAAACAAAACCTCTGTAATCAACAGCAGGACATACACAGCCTCAATGAGCCAATCAGAGTCTGTAAGACAGAACCATGGCTAACCAATACAAATCCACACCTGGATGTTTAGAACTCAAAGTTGCCAACTCAAACTCAGCACTTAGGTTCTTGTGGAATGCAGCCTAGCACCGGGACCCAAGGTTATCCATAAGAAACACCAATCAAATCTAGCATACACACAAGCGCCCAGACACACAGATCCCTGGCTATTTGTCTATCGGTGCTGTCATCTCTGTTTGCTCATATTAGGGAGGGCTCACTCAGGGACAGGATATGGGGATTAGGTCTGGCCTTATTGCGCTGTAGCTACATACCACTGAATAGCTCCCATCTGTTCTCCCATAGAGGATGGCTAATACACGTTAGCTGCGCTCGTGCTTTGCACTGCCAGAATAACAGCAGTGGATAGATGAGCAGCACTGATATCGCTAGCCACAACACCACTCTGCACCAAAGGCTAATGTGCCTGGCTTATTCTATTAGATTAGGATAAGAAGAACTAATACACAAGTATACGCAGAAGATCATGATATCTGATTGGAGATACTAAAGCAGTAGGCTAATCATGGGTCCAATTCCAGATTTACCTTAAGGAAAATGTGTTAGAGCAGGGCAAAGTTAAACCCTAAGAAAGGTGGAGAGAGCAGGAGAGATGGAAAAAAGATGGAGAGATGGAAAGAGAGGGAGAAAGGGGGCAGTGTGGTCTGTTTCATTACGGTGAATCCTGACACTGCTGCATTCTCAGCACACATGGACTGGATTATAGGCTATGTGGGCTGCTCCGCCACTGTATAGCTCACCAACACTCACTTCAACACACATACATGCACACACACACACGAGCACTTGCGAATGCACACACAAACAACGTGGCTGAAGACTCAAACGCTTTGCACTGCAGAAAGGCAAACCATTTGCTCACGCTATAGGACTCTTAATCCCAAAAGCAGTGCTGGGGCAAAGTGCACAACTTCTAAGTTGTTGAGGTTAGAGGCAGAGTCTGCTTGTGATGGTCTACCTGTGGATTACTGGGGGAAAGGAATGAGATGCACTGGAAACTATGAGTACACTATGCAGCCTGGTTTTCACTCCCATTCCCACATAAATACATAAGGGCCCTTTTGCTTTTTTCATCTCACTTTCCCTACCTTTGTTGTCCCTCATATGTACATTTATATGTCTCTTTTAAACCACACACACACACACACACACGTATTAGCTCGAAGCAAACCATTACCTCCCTGCACAGACCTCTTGCTGCACGCCTGTGTTCAAAGGGACCCTAAGCCCATGGGGGGGGGGGCTTCGATATAAAACTCCCCAAACAGGAATTATGCTTTATGACTTGACATTCTTCATTTTATGCTTTTTTAGCTTTCAGCCTTGAAAAAAACCCTTTCATGGCTGTTCTGTGTTGTATTATAATTAGCTACCCCACACACTGGCACACAATAGGGTGGAGTAGTGCGGTAAAACTTTACTGTGACTGAAAAAGAGGGGTGCGGAGAGACAGACTCATCCATCTCTGGTTTTTCTCACTGTGTCGTTTTTATCACCTATGGGCCCTGGTATGTTCGCTTTAGGCTGCTGGGTGTATATAGGTCCAATAACACACAGTTGCCTATAGAGCCCAGAGTCCATGCGCCACACTCAGCACAATCAGCATATGAACACTTCTCTGAAAAGCAGCCTAAAAACTCTAAACATATACATAAAACTGAATGAAACATCCCCGAGCAATGGAAAAGTCGGCTCTATTCCACTCTCCTGTGTCAGAGTTGGGTAATGCTGTGGTTATTGTGGTATCATCAGTGTTCCTGTCTAATGGTTACTCAAGCCTACTGAAGAAGCGCATTGTGTATACGATCATTAAAGTATTTGGAACACATGTACAGTATGACACTCTGGCAAGGGCTAATGTTAACTTCAAAACTAGCCTAAGGTGTAACAACAGCTGTGCGGAAACTCACTGTGAAGAAACGGATGTGGGTGGTCATGTTGGTGGTCATCATGCCCATATTCCCTCTTCATCATCCTGTGAGTGAACAGTAAAAACATGCATCATCATTCTTATCATTTCATTGCGCAAATTCTGGTTTATTGGGTTGAGTCTCATTAACTAACTTCCCTGTCCAGCCTTAAACCCCGATGACTTTAAATCCAAACAATCCTGCTCATGCTCTCATTCAGAAAAGCTGTGCATGATATCACCATTCCTCAGTGTGATTGTTAGAAACCAATAACTAAACACATAAGGTGTTTCCTTTAGACTGAAACTGTGCAGACAAGAGCCCTGCTAACCAGAAGGCTAATTCACTTAGACACTTACAATATGATAGTTAGCATGACCTGGCAGCTCACTATAGCCAAACCCTTGCCTGCACAATGCTAAAATAGGCTTCAGTAAAGCAGAGTCTATGCTAATGTGACACTCCAGCAAAAAAAAAATCTTGGCTGTACTCCACGGTGGCTTTGGTTGAACTGAGTAGTTGTGACAAGCTCGGTAAACTCAGTAGGCTACGTCTCAGCAGCTAAGCTATAGATATAATGGCCTTTCAATGGAACATGCTACGTGCTAAAAGCTAACGTGCAGTGAATGGCTGTGACAGGCCCCGTAAACAGAGCCAGACCTATAACCACTCATTCTGCCAGGTTAAACACACACACACACACACACACACACACACACACACACACACACACACACACACACACACACACAAACAGGCCAAATACCATGTGCTACTTCTCATAAAGTTGAAGCAGCCAGCATGTTAGGACTTAGAATAAAGAACAACAATCTAAAAGAAAAGGTTGTATAATTCTGTCTCTGATAAACACTTTATGGCTGCTTTCTATTTCCTTCCGAGGCTATTGCCAAGCATCTGGCAGCGGTGCTGGCATGCCTAAATGAGAGCAACATGAACGCAACATGCCCGTCAAACTGCACAGACTCCATGCTGAGACACAAACCCAGGGTGCTAAATCCACATCCTGTGCATGTCACCTCAGAGTATTTTTCACTTGTCCTCTCACTAACTCCATTACTAATTAAGCAGGGGCCTGGGAGTACAGTTAGAGGATTGGTTTGAACCTGATAACTGTGGCAATGAGATTTGAATGAGATGTGGTTTTGGCTCCTTGGAAAACTTGAAAGTGTATTCTCGTGTTTGTGTATCCAACATGCCAGCGCATGGATGTGTGCTCACGCGTCTTAAATTTGCAGCGTGTATGTGTGTGTGTGTGAGCACATGCAAATGCAAACGCATTGCAAAAAAAAAGTGCATGTGTGGTTACTGGTATGTTATTCATGGCACTAGCTGTATCTTGGAAAAGCATTGTGGTCTCTAGGGTGAGCATGGAGAGCCTCTTCATCATCATTATCATTATCATCATCAATCATCCTTCAAGTGGTGTTCCTGGACCCGGCAACGGACTGAACCACTGACCTAGCCACACTTGTTTATTATAACTGAAATGGGAATGACGGAGGAAAAGAAGGGACAGTAAGGAAATGGAGAAAGAGAGATGTCACTAGATGTTAAAGAAGGAAAAGACAGAAATTGGTGGAGTGGATAAATCACGAGCAGAGGCAAAACAATATCAACTAGAGGTGAGACAGACAGACAGAACAACATGTTTTTTTGGGGGGGAAAAGCGTAACTAAACATGTCAGTTAAACTGCAAGGAGGCAAAAGAAACGTGAAGACCAGTGTTTGGAGATAGACACTATGACCTCAGGGAAGTCAAGTTAATTGCTGAAGTTTTCCATAAGGTCAAAGATCAGAAATGAGGAAAAAACAATGAGGTGGCATATCTGACCTCTGTCAACAGGGTCTGCTGGTCATTTTAAACTGTGTGTTTGACACAAGGGTACCAAAAAATCCTAAATGCAGAACAGGAAGGTGAAGATGTAGTGTTGACTGACACGTTCATGTTTCTCTTTTGTGGCAATGCAACCAGGGCAAAAAACTAGCATTTTTTTTTCAATTAAAGTTATAAAAAAGAAAAGGAAAGAACCCTAACAAGGCTATTATCCTTCACCCTTTTTTAAACATGGTAAAGAGAAAACACTTGGAGCAGATGTGCAACAATAACAAATAACATATAAACAGGGAAATGAACTCTGTAAAACATCTGCAGCTGGACGGTCTCCACGCTGGCTAAATTGTTATCAGCATCGAAGTAAAATCAGGATCTAAGTAACGTCAGCGTCTTCAAAACTGGAAATATCTTTCAAAATATAAAATGTGCCCGCGATTTCCTTCTGCTAGTGCCCTGACCTGTCACGACACTGAAAACCGAGGGCGTCTGTTATTTTCCTTAAGTCATGAGTTAGCATCTGAATTTCAGACACAGACATTTCTCCCATTCCACTGCGTCCTTTTGTCTCGTGGGCTGCGACCGGCCCGACATGCTGCCACTTTTAGTTTAAAGTGAGTTTTTACAAAGTTTACACAACGCGGTGATCTGTTTGACGTCAGACTTTGCAAAACCATTAAAGTGTGTTTGAATAGCAAAGCTCGCAAGAACAGACGTTTCCAAGGAAACGGCAACAACTAGTTTCCAGACTTCAGAGAATGATTTTTCATCGTTACCGCAGAGAAAACTGCTATCACACATTTCACAATTTCTTTTCTCTAATCCAAGGTCTAATCTGTTCTCTGTGAACATTTTCCCATTCCATTCCTTATTCTTGCACGTTGCGTTTTAATCTTCGGCTTTCGTTTTCCCCCAAACGCCGCACAGAAAGGAAGAGCCATCGCAGTTCTCTTGTATAGACATAAAAATTCACCCTTAACAGTGAGCATAATCCAGCCAATCGCCACAGATTTATGACTTATTTTGTTATTCTGTACATTCTTAACAAGATTTCCCAGAAACCCTAATAATACTTTTTTTGCAAGCTGTTTTCAGTCCAACTTGAAAAAGTTGAAGTATCACTTGCAGAGAGGCACTGTTTCATATGTCAAACACTATAAACACTGTTGCAGTAAAACTGCACCGGGTAGTCATACTGAGGCAAAGATATTTATAAGTACAAAGTGACGTGGAGTAATGTGTGATAGTAAAAACGAAACCCCTGCTGTTCACAGTTCAGGAGAAAGTCTACTGTGGCTGCAAGTGATACAAAGAAACAATGTGGTTTAATAGTGGGATAATATTTTACCAAGGCAAATTTAAAATATAACATAACATAGAGAACACAAGCAAGGTGTTAAAGTAGTGCTTGTGGGGTTACAAGGTGGTTTCAGTGGAACATAGTCTGCATTCCTATAGACTTTCTTCAGATATAGATTTAGACTGAACGCTGCAAGTATGCATGTATTTTAGATTCACAGGCGCTAACAGCAAAAATGTATTGAAATCCTTACATGTTGCTCAGGTATGTGTGGGGTAATGCATGGATACAGCTGTGTGCTTTGAAGCGTGCGTGTGTGTTTAGTTACTGAATGCAGGGGATGCCCGGTGCTTGGTTGATTCCATTTTAGAAAGAGGTTTGAGAAATATGTAAAGTATATAAAGATGCAATAATGCATATCGAATAGAACAAACAAAATTCGACTCAGTGGAAATCCCCAGGTATTCATCTTAACCCTCCCACAATCTACCACGCGCACACATGTTCAGAGTTTGGAATCCCCCCCGATCAGTGACTGAAAAGAGCTGTGATGAGTTTAAATTACATGCAGAATACAAGAAGTTTTATCAGTCGGTGCTGTGGCAGTCATCATCTCCGTCTTTCTTTGAAGATTCCTCTCTCCTGTTAGTGGTTTCGTGTGCTTACATGACATCAACAAAGGCTCAGGTGTGCACCTCTGCATGTGTCTGCGAATGCATACCTACAGGCAAGCACATGCTTATGCACATTTACACTGTTTTCAGGGAAATATACATAAACTTTGGGCTACTAACAGAATCAGTTTGTTATCCGTTAACGGTGTTCAAACAACCAAATGAAGTCTGTCCTCAGGCAAGGCTGGATGTGAGCGTGATTGAGAGATAAATGATACATAAATTAATCTCACATAGAAATACCTTCAATCAAAAACACTCATGTGTCCCCTTCAGGCCTATTTTTCTAAATGATATAAATAATTTTGGCAAGAAGAAATGGAATTGAGAGAGAAAAGACTGAGGGAAAAAGAAAAGGGAAATTTCATGCTGTCAGTTCTAACCACAACTGACTCGTGGTGAAATGACAAATATGAAATTTAAATTGCTTTTAAAATCATGAAGGCGAGAGCCTGCGTCACGTCAACCTGTGTAAACAGCTCTGAACGTATTTCTAAGTCGCGTGCGTGTTCGTGCCGACCTGCTCCACAGGGGGTCGGTGGTTGGCGTGGAGAGGTGCTCGTGGCAAGCTTCGGTGATGGACATTTGCTGGGTGCATGTGGTGCGAATGATGAGGGTGATGCTGGGGATGGATGTAATCTTCCTCGTAGTTATCAGCAATCATCTTCATTCTGCTTTGAGTCTGCGAACAAAAAAACCCAAAACACAGAGATAAACGACAAAGATTTTAACACCTATAATTATAACAACCACAGACTAGGCTATTTTTCCACAGCAGTGCTCATTTGTTTTTGAAAATATTCTCTGGGTCATAAACTGATTAGGTTGAGGATTTTTCTGGGTGGAGGTGGGGGTGTTGAAAGCCGTCGAAGATGTTACAAACTTTGCCGCTAACGACATTTGACAGGTCATAAATCGAGTGAGTCGGAGTGCCTGATGAAAAAGTCATAAGTCTGTCAAATGTCATCCACGCTGTAGATTATCATTTAATTGGATTACACAAATCCTAGTAAGAACAGTTAGTTAGTGTTTTGTGTTTTGCCCAAGGCCACAGCCGTCACGGAGCAACCTCATTCTAGATGTCACTGATTAAAATTACACTCAAATATGCATCTCTGTAAACGGGTATGACTGAGTGTGCTTTGTTTGAGTTTATGTGCATCTGTGTGTGTTTGTGTGAATGTGGAAGAGGCTGTCATGCTGCCAACATCGTTGCTTTGGACACAGATAACAGCCTAGCCTGACTAACACTAACAATCAGCATGACTGCAGTGAGGCCAGCTGTCTGATAGACACAGAGTGGGTGCAGATATACTGACAGGCTCAGCTTAATTCCCTTAACTGCAGATATTTCCTCTGAGGGCAGACATGACTGCAGAGGTGGGATGAACATGACTGAAAGATATGAAGAAGTTTCCCATCCAAGATGTTACAGTCCCCTTTGTTTAAATGAGAGAGAGTCAAGACAGGCAGAGGCAAAAAAAAGCTCGAGTCAGCTGTGAAGATAGGAGGGAGATGGTGTTGCAGTAGTTAGAGGCCTGGGGACATTGCTGCTGAGATAAGAAGCTGAGGCCTAATGACTGAGGAAACGAGCCAGTCAAGATCACAGGAGCGGATGTGGCTGGCATTAAAGAGGTTAGCAATTACTTTAAATCGCAGAAGAGCAGCTCAGATAAGGTGAGAACCTCTGACACTGTGGTGAGAGAGGCAACAAGGGTACAGATGAAAAGTCAGGGGAGGAGGAGGGCTCAAATAGACACCAGACCAGTGGTTAGAGGCGTTAAAGGCAAGATTGAGGTGTACAGCCCTCTGTGACCTCAGGTGTTGACATTAGCAGGTGTGACTGGGCAGGACTGGTCTCAGTTCAACAGAGCTGACACCTGTCATTGAGGCGAGGACAATGACTGTCATATATGCCGCAGCTGATGACACCACTGCACTGATACGGCCGCCGCAATACTTAATAACATGGTTTAAAATCTGTGTTGCTTATTCTAATGTTCAAGATTGATATGCAGTGAAAGGAGTCACATAGAAACGTATTTGTCACTGCTGCTAATTTCATAGGAACCATGTTCCTCTTCATCTAATAACAACCATATTTGGTAGAAGCTAGAAGTCTCAGTTTGTGTGTGTGTGTGTGTGTGTGTGTGTGTGTGTGTGTGTGTGTGTGTGTGAGAGAGAGCACATATTTAATATTTAATGACCTGAGACACAAACACCAACGAATGACGTGATGAATTGCTTTTGGAAGAATCTGGTTGTGTGGTCAGGACGGCCCACATGTGGCCATATAAGTTTATCCAACAGACAGACACACACAGACACACACACACACACAGACACTCATCTGCTCTCTTCGTACTGAAGCATTCCTGCATGCAAGTGCAAAGAAGGTGTTCACACATAAAATGCCTGAGAGGTTGAATGTGTGTTTTAATTAGTGTTAATTAGTAGCTTTGCCAGGTAAACAGCACAGTAATGGCCTCCAGGTTTGCTTGTAGATCAGTCTCGAACAGGCGCAGGTGGCACTACTGGGGGATAGAGTTCTTTACTGACACCTCTAACCAAAGCAGACGTGGGCTGTACCTGTGCAGTGTGTGTGTTTGTGTTACAACGTGCAGCTGCTGGGCCGAGCGCCGCAGTGACGGCTGCTGTGCTCACAGCTGCATCCCAAACCTCAATCCAAGCCCTCCGTAAATCACAGCCCTGCCCTGATTAGAGAAAGGCTGTGTTAACACATATGGACACAAGAGGCTGACAAGAAAGGACTTAAATAAACAGGCAGCTGGCGAAAGGCTGCACCATTTTCACAACATTTATACACGCTCCTTTTTATCTGGATCTGGGTGTATTTGCATATGTGCAACATTAGTAAAAACAGAACAGGCACCCAGCTCCAGGCAGGCAAATAGTCTTACACAAGTCAGCCTTAATGAGAGGATGGCTGCTCAAGTGCAAAAAGAAAAAAGGAGAGGAAGTCACAGAATGAGAATTCTCTGTTCACAGCACCACTGATCTGTGGCCATTCATCACCTGGCTGCAGAGTATTCCCACATGGGGACACATTTGTCCGGACTCTCTCCTCACAAATCTAAGCGCTACACTCTTCGTGTGTGTCTCTGTGTTTGCAAATGGGTTCGTCTGTGCTGAAGAAGGTCTTTGCCTCAAAGGGATGCAAGTCCAATGAAAGAAAAGTTTGTCTTGAGCACGTGCCTTACACACACACACACACACATGCACACATATGTACTAGATCTTGAAAAAGAGGGATATGGGGAGGTCAGACGGGGCAAAGCTATCTGTAAATCTATCTGCTGTGTCAAGATCAATTTTCTCCTAAGAGACTTCGAGTCCCATAATTCTTTGGCATTTCCTGGTCAGTTTCCTTCCGACACTTGCAGTTAAGGACCTGGGGACAGCACCCTATCCTGATATGTGTCAGTGGGTCAGTCGACAGACAGCTCGTGTGTGTGTGATGTTAAAGAACACAACCTCCAGAGAGCTCATTTTGCAAAATGAACCACAGTAATGCAGGAACTACTTACCTTACGACCTCCCTAGCATAACAAATGACAAGGTGTGTCTATAGCACTGCAGTTAGATCCAATATTTCAATTTACATGCACATGCATTTTTAAAGACTTTAAGTAAAGACTAGTTGCATGCACGAAAAAGAAGAAAGCATGCATGTGGAATGCATGCTCGTCATCAGCTTTCCCTCACTTTTCTTCTTCACTTGCACCCCTTTGTTCTTGCCCTGGGCCTACAGACCACACCGTTGCAATTAGAGCTCATCGCATCATCAGGTGTACTGTAACTGCTAGTTACCCAAAGGGAAAACATGACGAATCCAATGGCGATTAACAGATAATAGGCTTTCCTTGAAATTCCTCCAATGGAATTGCCCCCCCGAACCTCTTTCCCGTTTACGAGGCACAAACAAACATAGATTCGCACTTAAATGCACAAGCAGCCACTGCATCTGTTGACTTTTAAATGCACCATCTTTCCCAGAAGCCCCTGTGACTCAGGAGATCGTATATATGGACTCCCTGCTGTTAGCTCATTACTATTAACATTCATGTTAGATCAGTCACTGATGTGGTCTGACTAGACCTTAATGATCCACATACTTCTCTCAGTCCCGTGTCATACTGTGAGTAGGATGGGAAATAGGTGAATGTGTGTAGGTACACGCGTGTTCTGGGATTTATCTCCGTTTCACCGCAAGATGTCAGCCAGAAAAGTCTGCTAGTGATTCACCGGTGATACAAACATACGTGTGCGACTCGGGCTGCAACATGACTGTTGAGGGAACAGCTCTGCGTATGTGTTTACGTGCCTGGAATCACAGCTTCTGCTTGAGTGACTTTTTGATGACTAAATGCAATAAGTGTGGTTAGAGGCGTGCAACTTTCCGTTAACTACCAGCAATTATTAACATCTATCTGTTCCTAGTTTTAAAACTCTAAACTCTTCCCATGAGGTATCTTTAATGTAAACGATCATGATCTGCAGCAGGTTTGAATTTGTAGCCCTGCTTTGAGTAGCAATGCCAGAATCTGTTGTAAAATGTGACCAAAAGGCAAAACAAATATCTTTGTAGTTAAATATGGTGGATTTACCTGCTGTTTGAGCTGGTGCATGAGCCTGTCCTTCTCCCTCTTCAGAGCCATCACTTCCTCCTGGGCTTTCTTGCGTTTGGAGGAGGATAATTCTAGCAGGGCGATGTTGGCATCCTTTTCACTGATGGCTGCAAGCAAAGCCTGCTGCCTGACAGGGTGAGAAAAAGAAAGGACCGTACTGACTGATGGGTAAAGTGTTAACAGCAAGTCACGTCACGTTTTTAATATTTAGAAAGCAGACAGGTGTCGACTACAGAAAGCCCTACCGCAGCTGTATAGAGATGTCACAGGAAGCTCACTAATTCCAGCGCTCCCTAAACTCAGACAGCGATTCCACAGAAAAGAAGCAGACATCTTTGAAGTGGTCTGCTAAGTGTAGTATTTGTGGTACCTTGCTATGACTCATGAGCATGTAATAGTGTAATAGGACCTAATGGAGCAGACTGAGCAGGATATGACATCTTTCTTATGTCACCCCTGGTTCCCACAGTGTCTGTGTGTGTTTGTGACTGTGTACAGAGGGGGTGGCTTCAAATGACTGTCCACAGGTGCAGGGGGGCAAGGAGGACATACCACCAAACTTCATCATACACACAACCAGATGTACTAATTTAATCCCACAGAGCTCGATCTTGCATAAAGTCTGTGTGTTTGGGGAAGATCAGTGATGACTGTCTTCATCACAGTCATCAGCAGGATGTGTTTGATCTAAATTTGTGACTAACAAATTCTGCTTTCCCACTTTGGTAAGCATATACATTCTCACAGTTAGCCGGGCATGGACAAACCTCTGCTTTGGCTCTTTATGTTGTTTTCTTTGACGAAAATAAAAGATAAATGGCAAAAAGAAGCTCTAAACACACTTTCCTACAAAATACACTTCAGCTCATTTTATGATTTTCTTTTGTCTTCATCTTTTGAGAAGTTTGTCTGAATGATCATCACACCAAACTAGTTCACCGGTTCATACCTTCAGTGCAGACACTTAGGTTATTCTAAGCTGAATACTCCAGACTGTTAAAGGGCATTTGAAATTAAGAGGGTATTAAACAAGCATGTCGAGGTCATCTGTGGGTTTGTGTGAGGTGAAAGGTAGAGGAAGAGAAAGGAGGGTGCGTTAAAAATACACTTCGGTCTTTATTAAAAATTGACCTGCATTAGGGTGTTTTTATTCCATGATTTAAGTCCCTGCAGAAATAACTAAATTACGAAAAATAAACATGCTGAACTCAGAATAAAGTCCTGCTGGCCTGGGACTCCACATTTGATGTTTTTAGTACAATTATCTGCATGCCGCATCTGGATTCTCCCATTCAGGGCCATTAATAGCTCTTTGTGTATTGGTGTGTACTTGCATCTTGCGCATGTGTTTGCGTGTGCATGCATGTGGGTTCTGACATGGATTGGAGCAGCTAATCACACCATTAATCACGGCGCAGGACCAAAGTGACACTTTTCGTCTCCCCACACCTCCAGTGTTTTTCCTTTTAATGCTCACTGTAATGGGAACGAACACACACACACACACACACACACACACACACACACACACACACACACACACAGAAGACTTGTAACAGAGCACGTGTCTTAGACTGCAGGCTTATTTTTCTTGAGCTGGCCATTCTTAGTCTAAATCAGCTAAAGAATTAAATGAATAAATAAATAAAGTCCATATAGATCCACATCCTGTTTATAAAATCCATCCTCATACAGTTCACCATTACAAAGCTCAACAAACCTGATGAATTCTGGATTTTAAAGAATGGCACAACAGCAGTGCCCATTTCACTACTTTTTCTTTGGCTGCGTTAAATAGAGTGAAGAGGTGATGAACAGAGTCATATATGGGCAAGGAATGCAGCACAACATGTCACTGATCATAAACACTGTGTCAGATTAACGGCCAAAGCCTACATGCAGGATGGCCATCTTTACACCACATTGCCAGACATGGAAGCACAAAAATATTGAACCGCATCCAACCAGCCTCACAGCAAACGCTCGGATCTCTTTTAAGATAAAGTTCACACAGACGGAGCTGCAGAATTTTATCTTTACGGGTCAAAATGCTGCAGTAAATACAGCACGAATGCTTGAATGCAATATTATTCCTTTTTAACTGCACAGCATTAAGAATGGGACTTTCTACAGTTTAAGTAGCTGAAACACCGGGCAAAGCCAGGATGGCACAAGAGGAGAGTGCTTTTAAAAGTTCAGGGAATCAACCCCACTTTTTGTGAATGTATCAGGAAATGAGCCACCACTTTCTGAGCACTTCATGAAGGACATTTACACTGTCTCTGTTGAATAAACTTGTGTTTTCTAATAATAAAAAAGACACTTATAATATAACAAGGATGAATTTTCCTCCAGAAAAAACTCCATCTAAAGAAATGTCCTATAATTCTCTTCAGTCCTATTTAAATTCATCCATTTTAGACATTATGTCAATGCAGCAATGAAACCCTTAACTCAAATATAATTACAGCGTGTGTCAAATTACAGCTGAAGCGTGGCATATGCTGCCGTCTTTGAGGGAACAGTCGTCACCTTCATTACACCTGCATTCGCCTACGTCAGTCCCAAGAGAAGATTGCTGATCGAACCCGAGATGCTCTGAGCCCAGCAAAATGAAGCCTCTGAGCCAACGTGGCTGCCATGGTTCAATGCAAGCTAAATCGCTTCCAGTCTCTAAATTAACAAAGCGCGTTACAGTGAAGTCTCCTTGTGGGTGCTCACTAAGTGGTGCTGCGGGATTCTGCTGAGCGATGTCTTCCTAAAACAATAAAAAAGGGGCATTATTGTGATTAGTCTGCCTGTAAACCTCGTCTCCTACATCCTCAGTCGGTGATTGTGTGTGTCTGTGTGTGTCTGTGTGTGTCTGTGTGCGTGTGCTGATTAGTATTACTAACAGTCTTTGAACCTGAATCACACTGGAGTATTTAATCACATCTAATTTAAGTGGCCGTTTGGCCTCCGTTGTTGAACAGACTTGCAATGTACATTAATCTAGAAGACAGGATTCATCTGTCAGGCACGAGCACACCCCACACACAAAGACAGATGCTCTATCTGCTGGCTGATCTTGAGTGGGTGAACCCTCTTTCTTTCCTCCTCTCTTGTCTTACTCCCTGCTTAACTTTAACTTGGCCTGTCCCACACAAACAAAGGATTATCTTCATTTCCCCCCCCCCCAATTGAAAGGGTGACAATGAAATGGTTTTTCATGACAAACTTGTGATTAGTCTTCATAAAAGTCAAACCCCAAGCACTGGAAGGTCATGAGGTATGCTAATAAAAGGACGTATAAATCCAACTGCTGGAGCCCTGGTGTCAAAAAGCTCCTCTGCGAGGCAACTGTAGTTTAGCTGACACGATAAACACGATGCTCAGACAAACAACTGCGCAGCCTTGAATAAAGATCTCCCACAGCTCAACTATAGTTTTGGTATTGTGAGAAAAATGCGAGGTTCTGCAGAACAGCTGAACTGACATTTTATTTATAAGGGGTGAAATTCTCAGCTCAGCTACAACATGTGATTCCAATTGAAGCTTCATGGTCCCTGGGACATATTGAGACATTTGAATCTACAGACGTGGGAGATGGATGGCTAAAGTACATGACTGTGTGATGTGAAGTGTGTGTGTGTGTTGGGGGGAGACAATATGGAAAGAAAAAGTGAAAGAAGAAGAAGTTGAGATGTGAGGCACAAGGAGACAGAAGAGGTGATGAAGACATCTTCGAGGTGGAGCTGCTGCTCAGAGCGCTTTACAAAGTCACGCGGTACACTGTCAGATTTCTGGGAGACAAAAGGGTTAAGTTGGGGTTAAAAGTGAGCATGAAACTGGGTATGTTCACACGTAGGCACATCAAAGAGTGAGGTTTTGATGTGAAGAGATACCGTGGAGTTGGAGAGAAGGGATGTGTCAATGAGGAAAAAAAAACAAACAATAAAAAAGATGGCAAGAGATGAAGGTAGCAGGAGAAAGGGAGTACGTGTTTGACAAGACTGAGTGCCACCTGTGTTGCATGAGAGAGAGTAAAGAGGGAAGAAAAGAAGGGGAGAGAAGTGGAGAGGAGAGGAGGAAGGGAAGAAAGGAGCAAAGGTAAAGATTTAGGAGTCCCAGCATACCCTAAATCAGCTCAGCGCACTGCATGTTGTTATTCCTAGGTGTCACGGTTGAGGGATATGTGTTTATAATTTGTGTTATGACTTACTTGAAATTATGAGTGTGGAGAGTCAGCCGGACAGAAACAGATGCGTCTGTGCGATGCCCAAGGGAACCATCAATACTGTCTACCCCTAAGCGCAGTGTGTGCATGTGCTGCATATTCATGTGTGCATGTATTTGCCTGTCCATAAATGCATTTGTGCTTTCATCTCCATGTGTGCATGTATGATGTATTTTGTTTGCAAGAACACGGGGAGTCCTCTAATATCTGCTCCCAAACCATCTATTATGACGTCTTCCCGTTTGTGATCATGCCTTTCCACCACTTAGCTGTCCGGCTCTGCAGAAACATTCCTGGGGCACTTTATGGTGGTTTCTTGATTGTGGGTGTGTAAAGGTGCAGTACAAGTCTGGGGGCCCCTGTCTAGGCAGTTCTAGAAGCCTGTGGTGAGAGCAAGCAGAGGACATGAGAATGGGGCATGGTTGAGTGACACTATTATTTATGGTCTTGGAGTCATGTGTTATTTACAGCTAAGAAGGTAGGAAAAAGTCTATGTCCAACATAAAACACACGCTCAACCTACATTTGGTGAGCTTTCTGCAAAGCCAGTTGAGAGGATAAAGCCGTGTCTTAACTTTAAATGTGGGTAAAATTTATTTTTATGAGGTCCTAGTTTTGGCTGCCTTGGTTTGGATTAGCTCCATGCTAACCTGTAGCAGCTAACCTGCAGCCACATGCAAGATCCACATATTATCCGCTTCCTTTTGTATGCTCGGCCGGATTTAAGCCTTTATTTATCTTAATCTACAAGGTAGGATTTATCCAAACCCACCACAAATAAAACTTGCATGACTGCCTTGTTTGTTCCTTTGGAGCAGTTGCTTTATGTATATAGGTCATTACATGTAAATTGTGAGCTTCAAATTTCACATGCTAACCTTGAGCTGCGCTTCCCAAGAAAAAAACATGAC